CCGCCGGGCGGGCCGACGCGGGGGAGGGCGGGGTGCGGCGCGGAGGTCGGCCGTTTATGAGCGGTGCCCCCCGGGCTGCCCTGCTGTGCCTGCTGAGCCTGCCGCTGCTCGGCGGGCTGCTGCTGCTCTGGCTGCTGCTGCTGCTGCTGCTGCTGCTCCTGCTGCTGCGGCATGGGGTCATAAGCGACGCCTACGCCAACCTCAGCCGTGGGCGTCCTGCCAGGAAGCGCGCCGGCGGCAAGCTCTGCCGCCTCTCGCGCTTGCCTGGCAATCCGGATGATATCCTCAAGGGATTTGCCCCACGTCGGCCCCGCAAGGTCAGGGTGAGACGCCGCAGGTCGCGGCGATTGAGGCGCTGCCCAGTCGCCGGTCACGGGGGCGGGCTGGGCTGGCGGGCCCTGGGTAGCGGCCGGAGCAAGGTGCGGGCCGTTGGGCAGCTGCGGGGGGGCCGACCAGGTTTGATGGTGGTCCTGGTGCCGTGGCGACTGGCGCGTGGGCGATCCCCGTAGCGCCGCAACTGCTGGGTGCAGCGTTGCAAACGGGTCTGGCGATGTCGAGCGTGTGCTGCCTCTGGTGCGGTCGCTGCCGGGGCTCGCGGTAGGTCCCAGCACATTGTGACGCCTCAGGCCTGCGTCAATGTGGGGTGTTTACAAGTGTTGTGACCTGCATATATGCCTCTGCAGCATTAGCCAGATCACACAAATCTCAACACTCTCGCTCACTCAGTAAGAAATCACTAAGACTCTCGTCTCCACTGTCGCTAACGCCGGGCCCTCCAAGCATTGCTTCCACCGATCTCGATCCCGCCAACAACAGCTCTGGTGTGTGGCGCTCTCTTTGCCAGGTCTTCCTTCCCAATGTCACACTCACGATGCTATATAATTCAATTCAATTGCATCGGACGGCTGGCGCACCTTCCAGCACAGGCCCATTCGGCAAGTGGGTGCGGAATCGGCAGCACAAGAATACCGTACGCACCCCATGATGCGTTATGATCGGGCCTTGGCGCTGTTCACGGGCAATTTCCTGAGCCTTACACGAGCAAAGCAGCGCACCCCGCAGCAAGCTCCATGGCAACCACCGTGGCTCCAACCACTTCGACCCTGAGCAGCTTTGCGACGAAGCCGGTACCGCAGCCGTTTGGGCCCGTGCCGGACGCGCTTCATCGCTACCAAGATCAGGCAGCATGGCCCCTCACCGAGCCTGCGGCTTTGAGCGCCCCCACGGCCTCTGCCGACGCGACGCCGGTGCGTGTACCTGAGGATTAGGGAAGAGGAGCTTGCCATGGCTTGTGCTTTTGCCATTATACGGCGGATTGTGTCTGCAAGTACAGACTTGAGGTGGTACGGCCCCACCCCTGCAACCTTCTGCGTGACTCACAACCTCTCCGCTCAACCACAGGTGCCCACACCCGCAAGCAGCGAAATCCGCGCGGCTGCGGGGCTCACTCAGCTTCAGCGGGAGTGGTGCGAGCTTCGAGTGCAGCAGCAGCAGCAGCAGCATCACCACCAGCAATCGACATCTTCTTGTGATCAGCAGGTGGGTGGTGAAGAGCCCTCGGCTGGCCAGGCCCCCCCTGGTGCTGCTGCGTGCATCCTGGCACACCAGCAGCTGCGGCGCGAGGATGACGCCGAGGATTGGGAGCACGAGGAATGGGAGCAGCAGCAGCAGCAGCAGCAGCGAGCTCACAGCAGGCAACAGCAGTGCCCTGGCGCCGATGACAGGGCGGCGGCAGCGGCGCCGGCGCCGGCGACGACCCCCCAGCAGGGTGCCTGCAGCCAAGGGGCAGACGGCTCGCCAGGTGCAATCGGGTGGTTCAAGAAATGCAGGTGTGAAGGGCGGGGGCGGTATGGGACGAATGCAAAATGCAGATCTTCCTTGGGCTCTTAGCCTTGTGTGGGGCGCAGGTAGGCGCTTGACCCTGCTTGGCTCCACTGTCTGCACACGCGCCCGTGCGGGCAAATACACACACACACACACACACACACACACACACACACACACACACACACACAACACACACAAGATACACAAATAAATTCGCACGTATGCACGCTGACACTGCCCCTCTCTTGTCGCCAGGGGCTGTGGGGCCATGACGGTCTACGAGATCCCGGTCTGCGAGTCCTCCATCCCCTTCTGCATGCGCTGCAAGGGCCGGGTGGAAGAGATGACCCGGCGGCGGGAGGACGGGGAGCTCTGGGCGTCCCTGCTGTATGTCCACAACGCCTGGAGCGCCGCCGGGGTGTAGTATGTGGGGCCAGCGCCCCACGCCGCCACGCGAGCGCGCTGCACACCTGGTGGCGGCGGGCTGGGCCGACCCGTCCGCACCCTTCCCCGGCCGCTCGCGGCCCGCAGTGATGTCGCCTCCGCAGTCCGCCTGGACATTTAATGGGCCGCATGACACGCGTCGCGTGCGTCCGCATGGGTCTGGGATCACTTTGCACGCGCCGTGCGCCGGGGGGCTTCAAGCTCACGCCCATTTGTCGGCACAATGCGAGCACCCAAACGGCCGCCTGGCGGACAGACGGACCCGCACACTGCGCATGCGCAGGGGGCGCCGCCTGCATCCCCATTCACGCGGTCACAAGGCGCTCGCATTCCCGCGCGCCTTGTCATGCCGCCATGACCGACCTGGACCTGAATCAAATTCCTTTGCCAAGACCTCTGCCCGCGGCTGGCGCAGCCACTGCACCACACAGCACATGCGACGCGACACGGCCACCCCATCGTCCAGCCACAGACCTGGTCAGCTGGCCAGGTGCCGACCGCTTGCCTGATTTCCCCTATGACTGACGTGGCCGCAATCCCAGGGGTCAATGACCGGGGACGGCGCGGACGGCAGCTGGTGCACCCACATCCAATGCTTCGACTGTGGGAGCCGCCAACAAGATTGTGTTTCAGGGTATATGCACGTACCACGCTCGCACCTGTCCCAAGATTTGATCTGGTTGTTGCTGGACAAGCCTCATGGCTTACTAATTGTGTTGTTTATCGCACGCGCACGCGCGTGCCGGGCGCACGCCTACCCAGAGTTGACGAGCAAGAAGAAGCTGCCGGCTCTGAGACGAGTCGGCGATTCCCCTGGCACCCCAGCTGCAGTGCTGAGTTCCTGCCGTTTTCGCTGTCTCTGCGACGCTGCCTCGCCGGGCCCTGCGGCCCTTGATGCGCGCCGCACAGGAGCCGTGCGGGGCTCCTTGACCCCCGGTGACCCAAACACCACCAATTTAGGACCACAATAACGGGCCGTCACCGCGCCGTTGGCCCTGCCTGATGGCGGAGGTTGCCAAATTGCCCGTGCAGATGCAGACTGCTCTTTGCTGCCGCGCACGATGGCGGGCCCTTGCAGTTTTTTTGCTGCCTGACGATTTACCAACGGACGGCTGGCTGACATCAATGTTGGGTGGATCTTGCCGCAGTGTAACAACAACAACCCCTCACTCTGCAAGTAGGGCGCTGCGGGCGGCGAGCGGAAGGGCGCGCCCGCTTGTTTTGGGGGGTACCCTAGTCAAGGGGCCTCCAACATTCTCGGGCCGCCCTGGGGTGTGAGGGGTCCAAGTTCGCTGCGCGTTCATTGGGACAGGCATTGGCGGCTTGAGGAGCGGCCGTGCGGAGCCACGAAGCGCACGCAGCAGGGCACAGGGCCGACATGAGCAAAGACAGGCGGCGGGGTGGCCACTGGCAAGAAGGGCATGGCCACAGGGGCGTAGCCCGCCGTGGGCAGGCGAGAGGCAATGTGGGCGGCACGATGCAGCGCCTGAGCAAAGCGCGTCGCGACAGAGGCAAATTAATAAGGGGGGCCTGGCCAGGCGCCGTCTGGTGCATGGTGGCCACACGCGTGCAGGATGCGCTTCCTTCCAGGCGCTTCCTGTCGACTTTCAGCACCTTGTGTGCCGAGGTGATGTGAAAATAGCTCCACTGCCACACAGCCGCTGTCATGTGCTGCCTGCCTCGCGGCTGCCTTGAGGGCAGCCCCAAGTAGACAGGGTGTGGCGCTGTGGCTGACGCAAGGGGACGGCGCCAAGGCGCTGCCCTGCTAAAACCCGCAGCTTCTCCAGTCTCGCGCTCTCTACTGCAGCCTAGAAACACCATGGCACCCGCTGGGCTAGATCAAACACGTCGCAGCCCTCCACACTCAAGAGCGCATTGCACCAGCGCCGGCGCGGCCATGCCACCACCCGGCCGCGGCAGACCCGGCTGGCGCTTTCGCGCCCTTGCTTGCCGTGCCACGCATGTGCTTCGCCCTTGCGCGGCCGCCACGCCGAAAGAGGCCGCAGAAGGGCCCGGCCGGCAACGCCGTCGCATCCAGCGAGTCTGTTGTGAACAGCACTTGCTTCTTGCCCTTGCCGGCGCCCGCGCCCCTGCGCTCGCCGCCGCTCGGCAGGCGGATCTCGACCAGCGGCACGTGCGCCGCCGACCCCTGCTCCGCAGCTTCCGCCCGGCTTCCCCTCCGCCCCTCTGCCGGGCCGGCCGGCCCGCCCTCCGGCGCCCCGGGCTGGCCCTGCTGCGCGCCGGCGGCGAGGACGAGCGACGCGCGTGGCGTCAGGTAGCTGCTCCCAAGCTGCTCGAGCTCGTCGTACCGCTCCTGCCATGCGTCACTAGGGTGACCCCGGGCCGCTGTCTCCCGCTGGCCGTCAACCTCATTGATGCCGCCACAGGCGGCGCCGCCGCTGGCGCCGCCTCCTGGCTGGCAGCTGGGTGCGCGCGACAGGCAGCTGTGGAAGCTGCCCTGTGGCGACAAGGGCTCCTCGCCGCCGCCAGCGCTCGCGCTCGTTTTTGCAGCGTGTTTTGGGCGCGGCAGCTGCAGCTTGTGCATCGCCTGCGGGCCAGCGGGTGGCGGCGCCGCGGCCGCGGGGGCAGGCACGCCGTCGCCCGGCGTCGCGTCGTTTGCGGCAGACCCGGACGCCGGCGCGCGGTTGATGCGCAGCGGCGGCAGCTGGCGCATGCCCGGCAGCGAGGGCAGCTCCGCGCCAGTGGTGGCCACCTGCTGCTGTGCACTGGTGCCAATCTCTGTGCCACGCTGCTCTGGCTGCTGCTGGTGCGCGCCGCTGGCCGGCTGCTGCGAAGCGTTCGCGCCGCGGCCACCATGGATGGCTGAGAGCGTCGCCATGTGCTGCTGGGGGTTTGCGAACGGCGACGGCCGAACAGGCTTCGTCGCAGCCGCCTCGGACGCGGAGGCCGCGGCCGCCGCCGCTGGAGCGTGCGCCGACGACGCCGCGACCC